TCTGCTGAAAAAGTCTATTTTGATAATATTAATAACAGAAAAAATAATTCTGACAACTAAAATCAGTTTTACAATACTGACAGACAAATTTTATTCTTGTCATACATTTCACATGTATACACACACATGTATTTGTCAAGTGATCAAATTCCACATATATAAATAAAGAGATTTCGTGGAGGATGAATCAGCAACTTACATTTTCTTGTTAAGAAGACAAATTTGATGTTTCACATGCATTTACACATAAATGCGTTTTATATGAATTTCGCCAGATTTACAACAGTAACACAAGAGCTGTATAAACTGCATTAGATTTGGTCTTCTGTAAAAATATGCTTTAATGAAATGTTTCCTTATATTTGCGTTGTTTCCAGTAACGGAAATGAGCTTTAGGCTTCCAACGCAATCGAACTAAACAAAGTTCGTATCATAAACTAAGAATTGCAACGTTAAATGCTCTAAAATCAATACATGTATCAAATCATTACGTAACACTTTTTTTACCTTTATTGAAGAAGAAACATTGTACGTTCTCGTTTCTGAAGATTAAAGTGCTTTTGAAAACACACACAAAAAATAGAACAAAGAGAATAACACCGAAACTATAAATTATTGTTTAATTAACTGGAGAAACTATACAACTCCTATATTTTTACATTTTATATTATATAATAAAATATGATCTTTTAAAAAAAATCAAATGCTAAGGAAACTATTGAAAAGATAATGTTTGACAACAACACTTTTCTATCATAAACATATTAAAAAGGACTTGAGTAAACGTGAATTTCCGTGTGACCGAATTAAACGCCACCGGTTACGGAGTGAAATGTTCAACCACGTGACCTGTGATGTAAACGGAAGCTGTTATGTTCGTTTAAATTAATAAGTAATGAATGTATTTATTTGACGTCTGCTGAAAAAGTCTATTTTGATAATATTTATAACAGAAAAAATAAGTCTGGCAACTAAAATCAGTTTTACAATACTGACAGACAGAACATTTTATTCTTGTCATACATTTCACTTGTATACATACACATATATTTGTCAAGTGATCAAATTCCACATATATAAATAAAAAGATTTCGTGGAGGTGAATCAGCAACTTACATTTTCGTGTTAAGAAGACAAATTTTATGTTTCACATGCAATTACAGTGAAGATTTTCTTAACATAAATGCGTTATACATGCATTTCGCCAGATTTACAACAGTAACACAATTATCACATTTCAAGAGCTGTATAAAATTCATTAGATTTGGTCTTCTGTAAAAATATGCTTTAATGAAATGTTTCCTTATATTTGCGTACCTCTGACATACCACTTTACTAATTTAGATATAGAGAGCGGAGAGGTACATAAGAGGTATCGTGGGGTTTCCTTATCGTTTATGTATTTCATCGTTGGCAAATTTCATTTTCCGCCTTAATTCTTTTATTTACCCTTTAGAAAAACTGAAGGTCGCTTTAACTCAGTTTTAACTTTTTTCTATCCCTTTTAATGTCAGCTATTATTCACACAAACTTCCTTTCATTTCTTTGCTTTAGCCACAATAACATCAACATTTACTTTTTCAATTTGCACTGATTTCATATCGACTTCATAGAAACTGTTTCTCGCAAGAGAAGTCATATATTGTTCAGGGTCAATATTCCATCCCTGGATAAGGTCGTATCTTTTCGATCAACTTCTATCTTTGCAGAGGGAACAAACCAGTAAAAATACCACATTTACCAGTCGGTTTATAGGATTTTCTTCTTTTTTTAACTAAAATTATGGACGGAATGAAGCTCATAGACCATTGGATGTTCGCCCGGACAGATGGACGGAAGGACGGACGGACGGATGGACGCACAAGGGTAAATCTAAATGCCCCCTATAGTGGGGGCATAAAAATTACTTGTTGTCATTACCGTGTACTTTAAGGACTAGCCTCTTCCTCTTCAGAACAGGGAACCATATGCTTCAAGTTAAGGTAGGGCGCTGGAGACAGTCTTATGTTGCCCACGAGCAGCGGATTTGCAATCTGTGTTCACTCCAGGAAACTGGTAGTGAACTGCATTAACTTTTAAAATGTCCATATTTTAATGAGGATAGACATAAGTACATTCCAAGCCATCTATTCCATCACCCAACTATACTGAAATATAAAGAGTTAATGACCTGTAACGATTTAACACGTCTCTATAATCTATGTCATTTTATTCAGCATATCATGAAAAAGTTTAGCTAAAAAATTTATATCTTTAAATATACGTGTGTAACTGCATAATGAAAAATGTTTAAATTCGCGTTTAAACAAAGGGTTTCCACTACATATTAAACTACGTTACTACCCAAATGAAAAATATTTATGTTTTTACATCATAAAGTAGGTTACCTTTCATCGTGTTTCAAGTTCGCTTGTCTCGCTCGTTTTACAAGTGCTGCTCGGCTTCAAATCCCGTTAACACGGGGGTAGTACCCCATATGTATCTCAAAAATGAGCATCGGTAAAAATTATATGTGAAGCAGATGTTAAGCATAACACCAGATGTGACTGTAAAAATAGGTCAATCGCAGGGTAAGTGTTCATCTTTTTAAACATTTATATAAAATTCAATCCCTTTTTTAAGAAAATCGAAAGGTGATTCTACCCTCCTGACTCTCCTCTATATAACCCATTTTTGTTTTGGATTTCTATGCAGTCTTCATCGAGATATTCTTTCCGTCGTGGGTTCTGGTGTGTCCAAAACATGCAATGTGGATGAAGAAAATGTCACTCAACGGACTCAAAAAACAGAGATTTTACGAAATCTCACTACAGACCGATGCTTAACATTCAGACAAACCCTGATTTATACATTTGTTGAGATTTGGCTACAAAGGAAGGGATAAGCTGCTCAAAATTGCATTTGAGCTCCATATGTGCTGAAGAGATCCATATGTGCATAATATAATAAATTAGCAACATAATTACGCAACACTTTCATAAAGCAATCTATAATTTATTCTTTTGTGTATCATTCTATAATAAAAACTATTGTCCGAAACAGACACATTTTCACGAGATGAGCTTGAATAACATAGTATCCACATAGAGAGTGATAAAGGACGTTCTGCATAAAATACGTAGATATAGTGGAGTGGCCTTGCTTATTTTGATTTATTGACGTCGAGTATTCGGCAATCATTCCCTTTTTTATGCCGTCATTATTTAAAATCACAAACGCATCTTATAAATCTTATAAAGTGTGCCCTCGTTCTTTACTGTTTTTTTAACATATGTAAACAAGTATAAACTTATATTCATTATATGTGTTAGCTTAAGAAATCCGTTTTAACATTGTTTCTTTCTCTGTTGTTAGTATTTGTGTTCGTGTTACAACCTGTTAATCTGCTTTACTTTTTAAAAATTAAAAAATGTAGTTCAATCACTTCCCCTCCATACTTAAATCATTAGTTTTGTAAAATGTTTTTGACAAGATTATATTTTTTGTTACGTGTACTACTGCTTCTAACTTGATGATTGTATATGTTCACATGTTTTTACATATTGTAAACTGTGACTCTGACAATAAAGTGTTGAATTTGAATTCTAAATAAAATGAAATAAAATGGCCGCCATTTTTTCTCTCGATTCATTCTTATTTTCGAAGTTCACCCTGCAATAGCGCATCACCGGAGTAACAATGACACCCATAAAATTAAGTTGTTTGCACCCTGGAGTGCTTTTCGCGTATAAAATAACTTTTCGTTGAATAATCAAAATGTAAACATCCGTTTTCAACGAAAGTAATTGCAATGTCAAACTGGAACATGCAGACGATTAAAGCCAAACTCCTCACAGCGGTTACGTCACGCTTTGCTACTTTACTGTACAGATCAGGGGAAGTAACCGCTGCGAGGAGTTTGGATTAAAGCATGCAACAAAGGATTATTTAACAAATCTAATCAGTGACATGTTACAGAACAGAACAACACTTTAATATGAAAAAGGCAAAGCCTCAAAGCGAGCTCGATGTACTTTTTACGTGAAATAGTATGAAATAATCGCTCATTTTTATTTCAAATGCAGTAACGAGTGCGTGTGACGTCACACGTACTGTGTTAAATATGGCCCCGCCCCTGTCGTGAAATGAATAACGAGTTTTGAAAACTTTGATAAAACTTTGTTTATTTTATTTCACTCTATAATTTTTCAAGCGAAATAAAGATTATTTAAAGTGAAATAAATGTAAAACTTAAAACGTTTGCGACATTCAAATAGCGTACTTGATTTGTTTGTTTTGCACGTACTGTTTGGCGCTACATTGTGACGTCACGTAAACAATACTTTAAACGTCTGTACAGCGTTAACGACTGAATAAAAGATATTGGTGTTCGGATTCATTTTCTTAGTTAGACCATTTTCTTTCATTCTAGATAGTTTTCACAACAAAATTCGACAAAAAATTGTTTTTTTTTATCAGATTTCAAACAAAATGGCGCCTTCGATTTTCATTTTTTATACACAGCTTCCGTTATTCTGGTTCCCTGTCCAATAATGGTTCCCATAGACGTGCGCGGGTGACCAGTCTACACATCCGTTTTCAGTCAGAATTCCTCGATCAGTTTTTATCGTTATCATTAAATTCGAAAAGTTGCGATGTGTCCAATTCGGTACTTTGGACGAAAGTTTTCAAAACCATCACTTAGCAGGTACTCGCGTTGCCGTAAAGCTCGCTTTGCGAGCAGGCCCTTCGGGCCAGCTCGTCGAGCTCGCTATTAACTCTAGTTACATATAGCAACACAAGAGTGTACAATACATGGTATATCAATATATAATATAATAAGTGACATGGCAACTGAGCATCTGAAAAAGGTACCATCGATATTTTTATTATTTGAATCTAGGGTAGATGTCAATATATGTTGGAGAATGTTTAACATTATTGGTCAATTTTGAAACAGATTATATATGTATAGAGGCGTGGGCGGATCGGTGATGTTTGTAAATAAACTCCCGGTATCGTCACGCTATGTTGGTCACAGTAAAGCGAATGCGGTAACATTTGTAAATAAAATAGTAAGGTAATAGCTGATAAAAAATGCTGAAAAAGAAATGGACGGAATGTGAATATATTGATTAATTCAGGTATCATCAGTATTTCAATACTTATATATTCATTATAACAATATTGATAGTACCTTACACAAATAATTAATTATACATGTACAATATATATAACCATTTTCACTGTATAGAATTTATCAATGTAGTTATAAATTTACATGTTTTCTTAAGTTGTATGACTGAATTACATGTGAGTAACTGCCTGAACTTTAAGATATTAGATACAGATACGGTTACAGATATGGTGGACATATGATATCTTCGTGATTTTGTAAATGCACTTTGTCAAAAACCATGCAAAGAGAGTAATTCTGGATATAGAAGGATTAGGTTTCACAGATCATAACTGTATAAATGGGTTAGTGTTTTGTTTTTATAAATAAAACACAGCTTACTGTATGTTTATGACTGGTAGATATCATCACTTGCTTGAATAAAAGAAAAAAAAACCTTAGCAAGTAGGCGCTACAGTGCACTTAAAAGCAGTTTCGTTATTGTTACTCTTGGTTTATTCGTGTTACAGTTAGATTTAGTTGACAATTTCAGTTCATGACAGTATTTGTTCGGGGTAATAAAATAAATAACACATGGGTTTGTGAGTAACAGTAATCTTCAGCTACGCCTCGGGTAACAGTATTTTACTCGGGATGATATTTTTACTGTTACCCACAAACCCATGTGTTATGTAATAGAAAGAGCACCGAAACACGTGTACGAGGGGGCGTAGCCCCCGAGTATAAATCAGATTGCCGAGTGTTTTGGTGTTCTTTCTCTTTTGTATCATAGTCAAACATAAAAACACGTTCCCTGTTGTCACAGTATGAAACCCCAGAAAAAAGTTACCAATGAACGGGCATCTGAATATGATATTTCTGCCGCTTTCCCTTTCTCTGTCGTCACAATAAGTATACCCCAACAAAAATGAGCCAATCAACGGGCATGCTCTGGAGTGCGGGTAACTGATACCTGCACTCCAGTTACCGCACTGTGCATGTATATGTATACGATTTAACTGAAACACTTTTTCAACAGAAAGGTCCCCAAACTATGATACAATTATATAATATTAGTATAATGTGTTGAATAATTTGTGTGTTTACGTTTGTTTACCCTCGCCACCGAAAAGATACCATATGGGCGATCATATATACTTCATTTAAATTATAACCTAAAAATAGGGGATCTGTTGCTTGTTTACTAATTGTTATATCGGTACATGTGTTATGTGCATACCATATCCCCCATGACAGGGTTGTCTCTACGTACGACCTCTGCCATGGGAGGAAGATAGGATAATCCCATTCTAAGTTTATAGATTCTAAAATTAATTATTAAAAGGTACTTATTTTAAAATGGCAAAGACGTTTATAGATAGTACCGTCTTTTTTACAGGTCACATATTAAGAAAATAGTTTCAATAGTTACATATAAAAGTTACACAATTGGCATACTTACATGCGATAAAGGCATGTCAGGGACGTTTCTTTACCAATTCAAAGCGGGCTCTCCGTGTTTTTTTTTATGCGTTTATTTAAGGTCGCCGCCGGAAAGCCCATATGGGCGACCGTACACTCAAGTCGGGTCATCCTAGAGCGTCCCGCCGAGATTTTTCGTCGATTTTTTCCAGCTTTATTGGTGGAGGAAGACCCCAGGTGCCCCACCGGGCATTATTTCAGGCACGAGCGTGTTGAATAAAATAATATTTTGAATTTATATTAGTATTGCAAGCCCCGCTGTACTTGAGTGAGTAATTTTAATAACCAATCAGAATAGAGATAAAACCAAGGTTGAAGATAACTAAATCACAATAATGAATAGGGCTTAGACCACTAAAAAAGATGCAATTAGTAAATTACTTTCTTTGTTAACTTAACAACACCTTACTGTTAAATACAATTCCAAAATTTTCATGAAAATAAGCATTCATTAGTCTGGAAGCATGCCGCTTTAAAGTGACAAGCAAAAAGGAAAACCACTACACTTTTAAAAGTTGTTTTTTTTTCCAGTAGAAAGTATATTTCCATGTTTGGTACTAGCCACTAATCTTGACAACACATTTTAACTCACATGAAATAACCTACTCTGATTTAGTCCACATTATCCTCATCATCATCATCATGTGTCCATCATCATCCCGCTGCGGAAATGACCTCTCGTGTTTCCTAGATTCCTATTGTCCTTTTGAGAATCCTTGACAAAGGTGTGACCCCTTTTAGCTTTCTGAAGTTTCACTCTTAGTGAATAAAGTATCAATAAAGATACAAGACACACGAAGATTTATTTTATGTGGTATACAAACTAGCTTATGTGCTATTTTCAGACAAACATATGTAAATGGATTAACAACGGTAAGGCAGCTAAAAAGTTAAAAGCATAAGCACATCTACGTGACAGTACATGTATTTAAGATATTATAGCATGTTTAAAAGTAAAAAGAATTACAAGCAAGATAATACAAAGAGTAAGATATACATATATATGTACATTCTTGTAAAAAAATTACAGAATAGCTAAAAAAACAGACATGTATATAAAAACCAAAGAAACTGCGTGGGGCAATTACATAATGCAAATAAAAAGTAAACACTAATCATTTTATAGGCATAAAATTGCAACATTGAAAAGACTATAATGTAACCACATACAAGCGCATACGACAACCCATTATCGTATCATAGTTTGGGGACCTTTCTGTTGAAAAAGTGTTTCAGTTAAATCGTATACATATACATGCACAGTGCGGTAACTGGAGTGCAGGTATCAGTTACCCGCACTCCAGAGCATGCCCGTTGATTAGCTCATTTTTGTTGGGGTATACTTATTGTGACGGCAGAGAAAGGGAAAGCGGCAGAAATATCATATTCAGATGCTCGTTCATTGGTAACTTTTTTCTGGGGTTTAATATTGTGACAACAGGGAACGTGTTTTTATGTTTGACTATGATACAAAAGAGAAAGAACACCAAAACACTCGGCAATCTGATTTATACTCGGGGGCTACGCCCCCTCGTACCAATCAGAGAGCCTCGTGTTTCGGTACATAATATTGGAATACAACAAAAAAATCAAACAATAAAAAACCCAAAAACATACATATACTGCAAACAAAAATGCAGGACATGTTATAATTATAAACAAACATGCACAGCCTGACTCACAGGAAGTTAAAAAAATATGTTTAACAAATTAAAGGATACACCCGGGCAGCCTCAAAACGAAAGGAGTTCTGTCCATACGTGGTGCATGGGTTGTACTGTAGGCACTTCTAGAATATGATCATACCTGCAATTGCAAACAGAGGTCTTAAACTTGGCCAAGTTTTTAATGTATTTAGGTAATATATTGTTTAAGCATTTGAAAGTCTCGATGTCATTTGCTTTTAACCTACTTAAATGGAGTGTGGGTAGTTTAATCTTTTATCAAGAAGACAGCCACGAGTGAAATATGATAATTTTCATATCACAAGAAGAAAATAAATCCTGTATTTGTAAAAAGAACTTGGATTTTCAGTTTATTATATACATTTTTATCATTAAAATTTTAAATACTTCCCCATATACAAATTTTGTGTATAGGCTTAATTTAGAAGAAAGTAGCCCGCTAGACACTAGTGAAAATAAGGAAAATATGTTTTACTGCCGTGAAATATATATGTTTATAGTGAAAATACAGAAAATGTAAATACCTATTTTATTTCATCAATATTTCCCAATATTTCATTCACAAGTATAAAATAAATACATTTATCTATTTAAAGTTTCTTTTATATATTAATGTTAAGATCTTCGTAATTTGTTTCAACATTCGGAATTCTTAATCGTTTATTATTACGGAAACGACCGAAACGTTCCGATTGTACTTCCTATTTGGTTTTCATATACGCCTATGTAACAAGGTGTATTTTACGGGTAATTGGTGTTTTGAGATGTTCCCCAGCTTTTTTTTTTGTTTTTATCCATATTGTTTCTGTTAGAGTTGTTTCCCCTTGACTTTGGCGGGATTTGTACATGTCACGTGAATCTCGTTTTCATTCCGTTCAGGGCGTTGGTTGGTAGTAAAGTGGCTACTACTTTTAACTTTTTATTCTAATTATTCTATCTTTTACTTATCTGACTAATTTGCATGTATATAATAATTGATGCATTGTTCTTCACAGCAGCACTCGGTGAGATTCATTTGTGTGGATGATGGCGTATATCTTAATTGTGTAAAAGGGCTAAAGATCCTACAGATCTGTAAGTTGATGTTTAATTATCTATGAAAGTAATGTTTTACATATAAGGTACTTTGATGAATTATTGAATTTTAATAACTTTTGCATTGTTATAAATAAATGTAAGCACAGGGACCACTGTATCATTGAGTAATGGACTGCTATGATTAAGAACTACGAACTTAGCTATGAACTATGTTATTGATATAATTGGAGATGTATAAATAGCTGTGGATATGAACCATGAGTTCGTTTGGGTATTTTACCTCCTCCAGGTAAAATGTATATTTTTTATGAATGATATAAAAGAGAGATCACTCTTTATATGACTTATAAGAATCTCCATCATTTGGTAAGGATTGTTACTATTTATTATTTAAGTGCCTACCATGCTCACATGCTTACATGATTACGTGAATGTACAATGTAGTACTGTAGACTGATGGTTTACAAGATGTACCGGTATACTTTGTGAATATGATGAACCGTAAATAATGTAAACATTTGTCAATAAACTACATATTATCGGACCTGAAGAGAAAATTTTGTATAATTATATTGATACCCCTGAAGAGATACCCAAAATTACACCTATATCAAACAATTAAGATTTCATATGATTAGAACGTTAACAATTGCACAAGTGACTACTAAAGTACAATAACCAAAAGTTTGAGGCTGCAGTGTAAGTTTGGGGATACCATCTATTGTGATGAACATATTATTGTGAATAGTTTTATACTACTGGAGAAAGATTTTTTCGTTTGTTTAGATTACGTCGAACGTTATACTGTCAACTATGATGGGTTTGGTAGCCAAAGATCACGTGACAGCCGAACCGTGTGACGACACAGCGGTCGCAGCACATAAGCATTATGCAATGTACGTTTGGACTACCGGGTTCGATCATAACGTTCCCGGCTGTGACAAAGACAAGTTCTTAGAATGGAATACGAAAGGTCCCTGCTTTACCCATGTTTGGAACACGAAAGCAAAACGTGACTGGTTGTGGGCCACATGTAACCTGCACGGAAGGGAGGTAGATACCATATTTGTAAGTGATGTGCATCATAATCTGAAAAAAGCATACGACACAGGGGATTGTACTTCAGCGGCGATAGCTACCGTTAAGGACATGCTGGTAGAGGGTCATACAAATGTAATTGTATTTGAACTACGAAAATGTTACATTTCGTTTATTCAATGAAGTAAATTTCAATTACGGAAACCTAAGTATAAAATTAAAAATTGATTGAGACTAGTTTAGTGATTAAGAGGGGTGTTAAGAAAAACTGTATTTTGTGTTATTAGAATGGTCTACAATTTCAAGAAATCATATTTCTTTTAAATGAATGTAAAATATGAAGAACGTGCATGGCATATAACGGTAACAAAACATCTAAGTAAACTTATGGTCTTGAATTTATAAATAATTACTTTTAATTTTACTCTACCATCTTGTCATCGTACCATCGCATTTACATCACTGTACCATCGTGGATCGCGGGCTAAGGTAAAAAGGGAGCGGAACATCGTATACAAAAAAAAAACATTAAGAAAAAGAATTTAATTAAATGTCTTAGTAAATTGACCTTCCTGTACTAGTTAGCATTGCTCTTTTTAATTGTGATAGGTGTCAAATCTCAAGATATACGGACTGTATGCTGTTAGTGACATCGATGTCTCGGAAAAGGATTTAGTCAAATATATTGTATATTACAACGATATATGTGCAAGTAAGAGAAGTTCTTTCGATTCTAGCCTAAACACATGGTAAAATGATATCAGTTATCGAAAAAATGCCATGCTAATTTTGTATAATAGATGAGCCATGTTTGTGATATATTAGTAATACGTGTGTAGAGTGAGATTCACAAGATGCATATCTAACATACGCAATAGATCTAAGTACAGTCTTGTGTTCCTTACCGCTTTCACAAAATCCACGCCACAACGGTACGTAATCTTTAACATTTTTTTAAAATGTGTCCCTTATTAATATATGTGAGAAATTTTGAAATCAAAATTTATGCAGCCTCTACAGTAAAGTTAAGATTTGTACCATATACTAGCTAAATCCCAGGGTCGGGGTCATGAAAACCTCGCCCATCTGAATCCCCGTATAAGATTTTATATTCTACAACAGCGTCAGATATTGAAAGATTTGACGGCATTGCAACAAATAACGAAGCGTACGCAACAATAAAATGTGGAAATATGAACGAGCGACTCAAGTACTTGGACAATCTTCAAGCTATTGTGACGGAAGCGAGGAAACAGAAGCATGGGGTACTACTGACACATTATTCAGTCAGCTGGCACTGGGGAATCTGTCATGGCGTCGTCAGTAATATGACGTGGAATGGTAAAACCTCTGACGTCACGCATCACATGATTGATATTTTCGACAGCATTGACGTTCAGGTATATATTACTTGACTACCGGTGAGATCGCTTCAAATTTGAATAGCTGTAACACGTTATTCAAAAAGGGCTATACAAAGTATCTTAATCGTTAGATAAAGCTGTAGTTCAACTGAATTATTTAGTATCAGGCCAACAATGCGCATTCGTGAATGACTTTGAAACAGACCCATTCCTCCTTTCTGACGGGGATATGGTTGAATTTCTTGAGACAAAAAGGCTAAGATTTGTGTCACATAAATAAGAGCTGAAATTCATTATGAAACTGCCGCTGAATTAATGGTTTGTTTCTTGAAACTGAGAAGCACGCAACATTCTTAGAAACAGTCATAGTTATATTGTTTTCGGCACGTGACTCAGTCATGTCAGCATCATAGGAAGCACCGCTCAGAAAACAAACTTCGCACGCGCCAAATACTTGACGCCAAACGCTAGGCGAAGTTTTAAAAAAAGTGAACGTTCAATCAGTTTCTTCACTCCTACCGTTCACATTCTTAAATATTGTTTAAATTTGATTTTAAAATGTTTTACATTGTACATAATTCTCACGTATAGTTGTAAAATATAATGTGCATTTCCTACGTTCCATTTACACTTTCTATAGTTCTACTTCTCAGTTAAATATTAAAAAAAATCTTGTTCTTTAAATTATTTCCAGATCAGATTTTTACCCTGACACATTTGTATAATATTCCTGTAATAAATTGAATTGATGTTTTCCAGGTAGGGTGTATAAACTACCCAGCAATTTCGGACAGAATGAAAATTGCAGGTTATGACTATGCCATGTCCATAAACAAACCAATTTTTACAACTTTGTACACGAATAAAGTAAGTATAATCATTACTTTTCTTAACAAAGAAAATGTCATTATTTATGAAGAAACATTGATTAAAAAGGTACATGAAATGTTAAGTACACAATAAGTGTCATGTTAGTAACGAGTAACGTTGAAGGGGCTGCGTTAATAAGGCCAATGCCTACGAATCACTTGTCACATAACGGACATATGTTCGAATTATATCCGACACTATAACTTCTTTCAATTGCTATGAAGAATACCTAAGGAAAGTTGGCGGATCTATTTGTGTCTAAATGTAGACCAGAAAGCCTCATTAAATCTCCATACTTACCCCACCCTCCCCATACACACACAACAGAAAGGAAAGAGTAATGATAATAATATTGATGATGATGATGATAATGACGACGATAACAATGATGACGACGACGAGGATGATGATGATAATGATGTTGTTGTTGTTAATGATCATGGTGTTGATGATCATGATGATGATTATAATGATGATGACGATGATAATGTTATACTTTTCCAGAGTATGGCGAAAAGGCTAGAAAAATTGTGATTACATTTTTTTCTATCAGTAGATCAATAGTAGTCGTTTTACCATAAGTATAAAAAGTAAGAAACAACTGAATTATTCAGCATCATTTTTTACAGGATTCACCATGCCAAATAACTTTCTTCCCAGATGATTCTTGTCGTATTAAGGACCACAACGAGACAGCGATGTTTTCAATATTTGACGGGTTTCCTGCCAACGATATAAGCTATGCCCGTCCATGTATACATTATTTCAGGGGCATTTACTCTACAGGTGGATATCCAGGCTGGCCAGTACATGATGGCTCTGGTAAGACTTGTAATTGATACATCATTATGTTCGTAAAATATCCGATGGTGAATTACAGTGATGTGCACATAAAACTTGATTAAATGTTAGCAAATCTTTGAATCATTAGGTATGCAAGATGAAGAAAAACTCCCTGTCTAGCAAATTCACATTAATTATTTTTTAAGCCGAAGCCGGTAGAAATTAAATTTAAACATACCGTTGATGGTGTGTTGTCTATCTCTCTAAGATTTTGAATTTTGAAAAAACTGTAGTTCTTTTATTTTTGGACTTTAACTTGGCTTCGTTTGTAATTTGCACTAAAATTGCTATTGTCTGGTTTGCATATTTGTTGTTTACATTACAGATCCTTCACCAATTGTTGGAAAATAAACACTTGTGTAAGTTTATTACAGAAGAGACAACGATAATATTTACTGCTAAAGAGACATTTGTATGTTTGTTTGCTTATTTGTTTAATACAAGGGTTTCAATGGTTTATTTCAAAATACATCCGGGAAATATGCGCATGCGTACACAGTACGTATAACAAATGAGCATATACTACAGTCAAATGGTCAATGTCAATACTTTATAAAACATACAATGTATATCATTACGTTACACAGTATTTTAGCAATAAGAAAATGTTAACTAAGAAAATAATTTACTATCACCAAATGACACAGGTATCAACCCGGGATGTCTCGAATTATATTGATATTACTGATAAACAAATACTTAGTACAAATACCATCCTATATCAATAAGGGTGTTTTTAAAACACAAAACATGTACTTACAATCGCAAATCAAAATTTAATGCATGCCTTGTGTTTTGTTTTAATAAACATCTAAATAATTATAAAAATGTTTTTTTTTAGTTATATACACTATCCTTTAAGCCCCATTTACACAGTCCCGGTTTGGCGTCCCGGTTTGCCACGGTTAAGTCCACCGGCACCAACCGTGTTTAACCGGCGTAGGGCCGTAGCGATTCCGTGAAGTACCGAAAAACCGTGGTGCACCAGGACAAACAGGGAGATCGCCACGATTGTATTAAAATGTTTAACACAATCGGAGCTCACCGGGAAGGAAGACCGGGAATCGCCGGGAAACCACCGTCTATATACCGTGTCAAACCGTAGTAAACCGGGATGCGTGTTAATCAAGCCCCATTTACACAGTCCCGGTGTGTTACATGTAAGTGAAGGAACCCGAGCATGGATTATTAGTTAAATGAGAGTAGGAAAAGTCTTCAGCTGATGCATTGTAAGCTTCTTGTACCTCAATCTCTGTAGGCGTTGTAAGCACAGTTTTTCCAACTTTCTTTCCTTTGACTGGCATCTCTGCTGTGTTTTTACCCGATGACTGATGTCAACCTGGTCAGACAGTTTTTTTTCATAAACTTGAACCGGGAAGCAAAGAGCTAGAGCTAAGATATTAAGCATGAAACATCTTCTAGTGAGTGTCTACCAAGTTTGTTCAAATAAAAGCCCTGGGGTCAAAATTGGCCCCGCCCCAGGGGGTCATTGGTTTTCCCTATATGCATATAGTAAAAACTTAAAAAAAATTCTTTTAAAGAACCCAAAGAGCTAGAGCTAAGATATTTAGCATGAAACATCTTCTAATGGGTGTCTACCAAGTTTGTTCAAATAAAAGCCCTTGGGTTCAAAATTGGCCCGCCCCAGGGGGTCATTGATTTTCCCTATATGCATATAGTAAAAACTTAAAAAAATCTTCTTTTAAAGAACCCAAAGAGCTAGAGCTAAGATATTAACCATGAAACATCTTCTAATGAGTGTCTACCAAGTTTGTTCAAATAAAAGCCCTGGGGTCAAAATTGGCCCCGCCCCAGGGGGTCATTGATTTTCCCTATATGCATATAGTAAAAACTTAAAAAATCTTCTTCTAAAAAACCCAAAGAGCTAGATCTTAGATATTTGGCATGAAACATGTTCTAATAGATGTCTACCAAGTTTGTTCTAATAATAGCCCTGGGGTCAAAATTGGCCCGCCCCAGGGGGTCATTGATTTTCCCTATATGCATATAGTAAAAACTTAAAAAAATCTTCTGTTAAAGAACCCAAAGAGCTAGAGCTAAGATATTTAGCATGAAACATCTTCTAATGAGTGTCTACCAAGATTGTTCAAATAAAAGCCCTGGGGTCAAAATTGGCCCCGCCCCAGGGGGTCATTGATTTTCCCTATATGCATATAGTAAAAACTTAAAAAAAATTCTTTTAAAGAACCCAAAGAGCTAGACCTAAGATATTTAGCATGAAACATCTTCTAATAGGTGTCTCCCAAGTTTGTTCTAATAAAAGCCCTGGGGTCAAAATTGGCCCGCCCCAGGGGGTCATTGATTTTCCCTATATGCATATAGTAAAAACTTAAAAAAATCTTCTGTTAAAGAACCCAAAGAGCTAGAGCTAAGATATTTAGCGTGAAACATCTTCTAATGAGTGTCTACCAAGATTGTTCAAATAAAAGCCCTGGGGTCAAAATTGGCCCCGCCCCAGGGGGGTCATTGATTTTCCCTATATGCATATAGTAAAAACTTAAAAAATCTTCTTCTAAAAAACCCAAAGAGCTAGAGCTTAGATATTTGGCATGAAACATGTTATAATGGATGTCTACCAAGTTTGTTCAAATAAAAGCCCTGGGGTCAAAATTGGCCCCGCCCGGGCTGACATTGATTTTCCTTATATGTGTATAACAAAAACTTAAAAGTCTTCTTTGAAAAAACCCGAATAGCTAGAGTTTAGATATTCAGCATGAAACATTTTCTACTAAGTGTCTACAAAGATTGTTCAAATAAAAGCCCTTGGATCAAAACTGGCCCTGCCCCAGGTGTGTCATTGTTTTTAACTATATGTGTAAAGAAAAAAACTTGACCAGCTAGACCTTAGATGTTAAGCATGAAATATCTTCTAATGGGTGTCTACCAAGTTTATTCAAATAAAAGCCCTGGGGTTTAAACTGGCCCCGCTCCAAGTGAGCGACTTCAGGGCCATCATGGCCCTCTTGTTTGTGTATTCTATCTGTGATTTTTTTTTATTTGTTTTATAAACGCGCTGTACTTTTAATTAATTAACAAATAAAACATGGCCTTGAGGGCAATATGCAAGTTTACGGACTGGTTGGTCAGACTGTGAGTATATGACCCGAAGCGCGGAGCTCTGAGGGCCATACACCTTCCGAGGTCTGACCAACCAGTCCGTAAACTTGCATTTGGCCGAAAGGCCATATGTTTTATTTGTTATATTATACCGAATCTAAATACTTTCATACCTTTTGTTGCTGTCATTTTTAGCTCGACTTTTCTATGAAAAGGGGAGCTATCCTACTCGCCCCGGCGTCGGCGTCGGCGTCGGCGTCACACCTTGGTTAAGTTTTTCGTACCACCCCACTTTATTTCAGAAGTATTACAAGTATGGCTTTGAAACTTACCATACTTGTTCACCATCATAACCTCCATCTACAGACAAGAGTACATAACTCTGTCAAGGTTTTTGACAGAATTATGGCCCTTTTTTGACTTAGAAAGTGTATTGAGCTTGGTTAAGTTTTTTGTACCACCTCACTTTATTTCAAAACCATTGGAGGTATTGCTTTGAAACTGACCATACTTGTTTACCATCACGACCTTCATCAACAGACAAGAGGACATAACTCTGTCAAGGTTTTTGACAGAATTATGCCCCTTTTTGACTTAGAAAATACATTGAATATGGGTAAAATCCACTTATTGCCTTAACCCTTTGAGATATTGCTTTGAAACTTTTAATGCTATTTCACATCATTACCCCCATCTGTACGCAAGAGAAGGTAACTCTGTCAAGGATTTGTTTTAAAAATTAAGGCCTTTTATCGACTTAGAATCTTGGTTAAGTTTTTAGTACCAGTCCACTTTTTGACTGAACTGTTTGAGATATTAATTTGAAAGTTGGAATACTTGTTTACAATCATGATTCCCAAACATGTCCAGGAGAAGGTAATTCTGTCAAAGATTTTATTTGAATTATGGCCCTTAACTGTCAATGTTTTGTATTATAGGCAAGCACTAAAAAACTTAAAAAATCTAAAAAAATTCATTCCTATCCACTTGTTCACTTTACCATAAATTATGTCATATAAACATTGCTGTAATATTCAAGGGTATCAAACAACTAGTTTTTTTTTCTTTCTTACCAGCCCTCTTTTGACTTAAACATTTCAAACTTTGCTGCAGTGTTCAAGGGTATCACACAATTCAGTAAAATAATTCTTCACTAAATATCTTAATGCTCATGGCCATTGTTCACTTTAAAAATACAGAGATTCTTGTATTGCCTTTTACTGCAAAAACTTTTTTTATTGGCAAGCAATAAAAAAGTCGAGCGCGCTGTCTTACGGACAGCTCTTGTTACTATAATTTGCTATTAAATAATATTTTTATTTGTTCAGTGTGTCAAATATCTCAAACCCTAGTCGGATTTTTTTTATCATTTTCGAGCGATGCAGCAAAAAATCATGCTTTTCTTTTAATATTCCATTTTTGTTAATCAAATTAAATATTTACTTTAAGAATTTCACAAACTTTATAAATAAAATTTATAATTAAATAAAAGACAAATCATGACTTTTGATCAACATGTAATAAATTTATGTGAAACATAACAATAAATTCAGTAGAAAGAATCATTTATCACACACCCGTGCCGATTTTGCGACTCCGGTAAATAAGGTATTGCACGGCCGTGCATATATTTTGACGTGACGTCATTAGCGTTATACAAACATAGTGTAAAGACGCGCTAAATGTTAGCGTTATTCTATAGCCGCGTCAATGAAAAATGACTCTTATTTCACTTTAAACGGTCTTTATTTTGTGTATGTGATAAATAGAATATTAAATTCGTGTAAGTTCATTACTGAATTTATTGCACTCGTTGAATAAAATAATATTATGCTCGCCAGAGACTCGCATAATGTAATTTTATTCAACTTGTGCAATAAATTCAGTATTGAACTTACACTCATTCAATATCCTCTATTTATTATAAAAGTTACACGAATTACAAGCAAGATAATAGAAAGAGTTAGACATACATATACACTGAATGTACATTCCTGTAAAAAAAATATAGAGTATCAACAAACAGACATGTATATAAAAAAACAAAAGAACTGTATGGGACTATCATATAATACAAATAAAAGTTAACAGGCATAACGTTGCAACATTGAAAAGACTATACATGGAACCACGTATACACGCACATAATTAAGACACCCATGTAAACACCCTATCAATTTTTGGAATTCAAAATAACAAAACAAACATACATACGCTGAAAACAAATATACAAGACATATTATAAAAATTATAAACATAGACATGCACCGCCTGACTCACATGAAGTTCAAAACAAATTGTGTTTTTAACAAAAGGATACACCCAGGCAGTCTCAAAACGAAAGGATTTCCCAAAATCCATCCCCTTGGGGGTTTTGTATTTGTGGGCACTTCCCCTAGAAAAATGACCTTTTACCTCCCCAATTTTTAAACAAGGTTTTACACTTGGCCAAGTTTTGAATGTATTTTGGTAATATATTATGTAAGCATTTAAAAGCCTCGATGACAATTGTTTTTTTTTCACCTACTTAAATGGAGTGTGGGGAGTTTAACCATATCAAGAGGACTTTTTTTGTTGACGTGAAGTCACTGAAAACAATGCGTAAGACCCTGTATTGGACTTTTTCAAGTCTGTCAGTGTAGTTTTCTGTCAGTTAATCATAAAATCAACTCATTTAACAGACCGATAAGAAAACAACATAAACAACAACAAAAAACACACAAACACCGCGAACAAATACCCACATGATCGATCTTTTTTTGTATAATTTTAATGTTAGTCAACATAGTAAATATTCATTCAATCTTGTTTAAGTAGAGGATATTTAAGTTTTTTTCTATAAATACATGATTTATTTTCATCATTTATGAAAATAAATAGTTCATAAATAGTTCACAAGAAGAAAATAAATCCTGTATTTATAAAAAGAACTTGGATTTTCTGTTTACTATATACATTTTTATCATTAACATTTTAAATACTTCTCCATATACAAATTTTGTGTATAGGCTGAATTTAGAAGAAAGTAGTCCGCTAGACACTAGTGAAAATATGGAAAATATGTTTCACTGCCGTGAAAAATATATTTTTATAGTGAAAATACAGAAAATGTAAATACCTATTTTATTTCATCAATATTTCTCAATATTTTATCTACACGTATATAATAAATACATTTATCTATTTAAAGTTTCTTTTATATATTAATGTAAACGGACATTGATGTAAAACTATCTGAATAATTTTCTTTATTCTTTCGTTTCAACATTCGGAATTCTTAATCGTTAAATATTACGGAAACGACCGAAACGTTCCGATTGGACTTCCTTATCAAATTGACATTTGGTTTTCATATATATCCATTGTCTCAGATTAAATCAATACGGATGTCACGTTCGCTTATATAAAACAATTAAGATTTCATATGATTAGAACGTTAACAATTGCACAAGTGACTACTAAAGTAAAATAAACAAAAGTTTTAGGCTACAAAGTAAATTTGGTGACACCATCGTGATAAACATGTTTTTGTGAATAGTTTTAAACTATATCGTTTGTTAAGATTACGTCAAGATGAAAATGCTTAACGTTATACTGTTAACTATTGCATCGGTGCAGATGGGTTTGGTAGCCAATGATCACGTGACAGCCGAACCATGTGACGTCAGAGCGGTCGCAGCACGTAAACATTACGCAATGTACGTTTGGACTACAGGTTTCGATCATAACGTTCCCGGCTGTGACAAAGCCAAGTTCTTAGAATGGAATACGAAAGGTCCATGCTTCACCCATGTTTGGAACACGAAAGCAAAACGTGACTGGTTGTGGGCCACATGTAACCTGCACGGAAGGGAGGTGGATACCATATTTGTAAGTGACGTACATCATAATCTGAAAAAAGCATACGACACTGGGGATTGCACTTCAGCGGCGATAGCTACCGTTAAGGACATGCTAGTAGAGGGTCATACAAAGGTAATTGTATTTGAACTACGAAAATGTTACATTGCGTTTATTCAATGAAGTAAATTTCAATAACGGAAGTATAAAATTAAAAATTGAGTGAGACTTGTTTAGTGACTAAGAAGAAACTTCTAGTGTGGGGTGTTAAGAAAAACTGTATTTTGTGTTATTCGAATGGCCTACAATTTCAAGAAAAATTAATGTAAAATATGGAGTACGTGCATGGCATATAACCGTAAAAAAACATCTAAGTAAACTTAAGGTCTTGAATTTATAAATAATTATTTTCATTTTACTCTACCATCTTGTCATCGTGCATTTACATCATTGTAACATCGTGCATCGCGGGGGTTAAAAAGGGAGCGGAACATCGTATACAGAAAGAAGCATTAAGAAAAAGAATTTAATTAAATGTCTCAGTAAATTGACCCTCCTGTACTAGTAATCATTGCACTTTTTAATCGTGATAGGTGTCAGCTCTCAAGATATACGGACTGTATGCTGTAAGTGACATCGATGTCTCGGAAAAGGATTTAGTCAAATATATTGTATATTACAACGATGTATGCGCAAGTAAGAGAAGTTTCTCGACTCTATTCTATAAATTGATATCAGTTATCAACAAATACCATGCTAATTTCGTACAATAAAAATTTTTCCCTGGGGGGGAACTTTTTAAATGATATAAAAGATTTTTAATTTAACTTTTTTTAAACTTTGTTTTGGGGGAAATAAATAACTTTTTATCGGGAATAAGTAACAAAAAATGATCAATAAAAGAAAAAGGTTTGGAAACGGGGGCCCCGGTTGAAGACCGGTAAAAAGGCCCGGGGAAAGATAAAAAAATTTTTTTCTTTTTTTAAAAAAAGGGTTAAATAGCCTACCTTTTTAAATGAAAAATTTCCCGAGCAAAAAAAAAAAAGTAAACACACAAGTTTACGCAGAAAATATCTCTATTTATTATGGCAGATGCCACTACGAAATATTTTAATTTTGTAGATTTTCAGTATTTGTAAAATTTGAGATAGATTTTAAAAGAAACATTGATAACATATCATTCAAGTTTTTCCAAACTAAACGGTAAAATAATTATAGAAAATTAGAAATATCACGTAATAGTTTTTTGTTCTTAATAAGTTGTAATTCGGACTAATACCCTAGAGGTGAATCCGTAACGTATCGGCAAACGGTATTTAGCTAGGTTTTCGAAAAGGTCAATTAACCAATCATGTACGGTTTACAGATCACATGCTCCTCCATGTACCGAAAAACAGGTCACGTGCTCCTCCATGCCTCAAAAGTTAAACGCGTACCAATACCCTGCGGTCTCCAGACCGCAGGGAATAATGGATACACTTGTTTTTTGAGATGTTAGTTATACGTGTGTAGCGTGAGATTCACCAGATGCTTGAAATGCATCTTGTAGATCTACAATTAGTTTTATGTTCCTTGCGGCTCTTACAAAATTCACGCCACACCGGATGTGTGTAATTTTTTAACCCTTTAAAAAATGGTGAAATCCTGCGTGTCCCTTAAAAATACATGTAAGAGATTTTGAAATCAAAATTTTATTCAGCCTCTACAGTATAGTTCAGATTTGTACCATATACTAGCTAAATCCCAGGGTCGGGTCATGAAAACCCTGCCCTCTGAATCCACTTATAAGATATTATATTTTCTATAAACAGGGTCAGATATTGAAAGATTTGACGGCATTGCAACAAATAACGAAGCGTACGCAACAATAAAATGTGGAAATATGAACGAGCGACTCAAGTACTTGGACAATCTCAAGCTTATTGTGACGGAAGCGAGGAAACAGAAGCATGGGGTACTACTGACAACATTATTCAGTCAGCTGGCACTGGGGGAATCTGTCATGGCGTCGTCAGTAATATGAACGTGGAATGGTAAACTTCTGACGTCACGCATCCCATGATTGATATATTCGAACAGCATTGACGTTCAGGTAGGATTTAGCTCAATACAGGATTGGACAGCAGTACCTCTTAGACGCTTGCAGAAATAATGATCACAAAATAGACAAATATCGTTTTTTTCGCCGAATTTTACATTTTTTCCTTGATTTTCGTATTTGATTTTGGTGTGAAAAGATGAATTTAGACCTGTTAAAGTTCATTCCGTTGGGTAAAAAAACAAGATTTTAGCATTTTATCATTCAAGCGCCTTGTCCGGTATATACCGGAATACGGTATTTAGTGTGGTGCTCCAATCCTTTTTTTAGTCACAGCCGTTCAGGTAGGCCTACATATTACAAGAGCTAGCTGATTTGACAATTGCTTTAAATTTGAATAGCTGTAACACGTTATTCAAAAAGGGCTATAGGTCTACAAAGTATCTTACTTGTTAAATAAAGCTGTAGTTAAACTGAATTATTCAGTATCCAGGCAATACTAGTAATGCGCGTTCTTGAACAGACATATTCCTCCATTCTGACGGGCATAGTTTTGAAGTTCTTGGGGAAAAAATCTAAGATTTGTGTCACATAAATAAGAAAAGCTTTTGGTAGCTAAAATTCATAATGAAACTGTCGCTGAAATAATTTGAGTGGATTGTTTCTTAAACTGAGAGGCACGCAACAATTTTAAAAATAGTCATAGTTATGTTGATTTCGGCACGCACCTCAGTTAGCCCAGAATACAAACTTCTCACGACCAAATACTTGACTCAAAAAGGTAGGGAAATAAATCATCAGTCGAAATTTAAACAGTCAGTCGCTTAGCCCCTACCCTTCAATTTTTTGTAATATTGTATAAATTTGATTTAAAGATGTTTCATCACATATTATTATCACGTATAATATAAAATATAATGTACATCACCTTCGTTCAATTTACACTTACTATAGTCCTACTTCGAAGTTAATGATTTTAAAAAAATGGTAGTTATTCTATAAACTATTTCCAGATCAGATTTTTACCCTGACACATATGAACAATATTCCTGATATAAAATACATTTATGTTTTCCAGGTAGGGTATATTATCTACCCAGCAATTTCGGACAGAATGAAAATCGCAGGTTATGACTATGCCATGTCCATAAACAAACCAATTTTTACAACTTCGTACACGAATAAAGTAAGTATAATCATTACTTTTCTGAAAAAAGAAAATGTTACTGTAACTTCTTTCAATGGCTATGAAGAATACCTAAGGAAAGTTAGCGGATCTATTCATGCCTGAATGTAGACCAGAAAGCCTCATAAACTTCCATCCCTTTAAAAAACCCCCCCCCCCCCATCACACAAAAACCCAAAAATAAAGAGAAATTTAAATAATAAATTTGATGATGATATAATAAACGCCCCAAATAACCCGACGCGGGGAGGCTGCCCCTTTTGTGTGTGTGTTGTTTAAAACAAAGATATGAAAGGAAAATTAAAATAAAAAAATTTTGGATGATAATGATAAATGATGGCGACGATAACAATGATGACGACGATGATGATGATAATGATGTTGTTGTTGTTGATGATGATGATGATGATGAAGAGTAATTATAATAATATTGAGGATAATGATGATGATGGCGACGATAACGTTATACTTCTTCAGAGTATGGCGAAAAGGCTAGACAAATTGTTATTACATGTTTTTTTTTCAGTAGATCAATATATAGTTGTCGTTTTACCATAACAAGTATAAAAAGTAAGAAAGAACTAAATTATTCAGCATCACTTTTTTACAGGATTCACCATGCCAAATAACTTTCTTCCCAGATGATTCTTGTCGTATTAAGGGTCACAACGAAACAGCGATGTTTTCAATATTTTGACGGGTTTCCTGCCAATGGTATAAGCTATGCCCGTCCATGTATACATTATTTCAGGGGCATTTACTCTACAGGTGGATATCCAGGCTGGCCAGTACATGATGGCTCTGGTAAGACTTGTAATTGATACATCATTATGTTCGTAAAATATCCGATTGTGAATTACATTGCACATAAAACTTTATTAAATGCTAGCAAATCTTTGAATCATAAGGTATGCAAGATGAAGAAGATAAACTCGATGTCAGTATGTCTAGCAAATACACATTAATTATTTTAGAAGCCGAAGCAGGTAGAAATTTACATTAAACAGACCAGTGATAGTGTGTTGTTTATCTCCCTTACATTTTGAATTTATTTGAAGAACTGTAGTTCTTTTATTTTGGCTGCATTTGTAATTTGCACTAAAATTGCTATTGTCTGGTTTGCATATTTGTTGTTTACATTACAGATCCTTCACCAATTGTTGGAAAATAGACACTTGTGTTTGGTTATTACAGAAGAGACAAAAATAATATTTACTGCTAAAGAGACATTTATATGTTTGTTTGCTTATTTGTTTTAATGCAAGGGTTTCAAGAGTTTATTTCAAAATACATACAGACAATATGCCTATGCGCACACAGTACCATACAATACAGTCAGATGGTCAATGTCAATACATTATAAAACAAATATCATTATGTTGCACAGTTTTTTAACCCAATAAAAATTTAGTAAACCAAATACAAAGGGCCTTAAATTTATAGTAAATTTTAACTGGTAAATAATACGTGTACGGGATATACCCCTTCAATAAGGATGAAAAAAAAAAAATTATGTAAATTTTACAATTGCCCAATCAAAAATTTAATCGGCAATTTGTTTTTGTTTTATTAACTCAAAATCATTTTTAAAAAATTTGGAAAGTTTTTTTACATTTTTCTTTTAAGGAAAAATCGGGTTTTGTAAGAAAATTCATTACGAAAAAAAATTTTTAGCGCTTTAAAAATTAGTGTTTGAATTTAAACAAAAGACATCGGGGTTTTACTGTAAAACCCTTTAAAAAAATTCCCGTTGTAAATTTTCCCCGTTTTTTAAACACCATATTAAAAAGTCGAAATTGAAAGCTTGAAAAAAGAATAAAATAATATATAACGGTTCGCAATTTCGGGCAACGAAATAGGATGAGTATTATCTAAACATACGGTTATCACATATGCACGAGGGCGCTTAGCCACCCCTCCCCCTTCCCGGCAGCGATTTTAATTCAGATTGGTTCTCTTTTGTATCATAGGCAAAAATAAAAATACATTCCCTATCTTAAATTAAGATCGTCACAATAATTAAACCTCATAAAAATGTAGCCAATCAACGAACATGATCTATTTTCATCCCCGAATAACAGTGCGGCTTGAGTGCGGGTTACTGTAACCTGCCCGTTGGGTATACGATTTAACTCTGGCACATTTTAAATAGAAATTCTCCAAACTATGATAAAACATATAGATTCATGACAACTGTAGGTACAGCAAAATTAATCTTACGTGAATAATACCGATTTTACAGTATTTAACCTTATTGGTCAATGCGTGTGAACAAATTTGATTGCCGTATAAAGCAAGTTCTCAAAATTTATTTCAATCATCACCGAGTTCACATTATAAGAAACATGGTCGTGAACTGGAGAATCACTCGAACTAATGAACCCTGGATTAAGAGGAACGAAGACATCTTTATATAGGCCAGTCGGTTTACCAAAAATATCCTTAACATAGAACTAATTGCCACACTTCTTAATTTTGTGTTCACAACAAGGCACAATTAGTGTACTTACTCTAATAAAATGTCCCAGTATGTTGCACTTGCCGTTTGGATAAAAAAATTAGTTTGATCAAGTTTGGTATTAGAATATAACTAGCGAAGACGCTGACACTGCATGTACCATCTAAATACATTTTATACTTGAGAAATTTAACTTATAAATGTTTATTTGATTTGCTATATATTAAAATGATAATCCTTGGTATTTCCATTCTCTAAATAGGTTAATGAAGAATCTTATTTATAAACCTTTATACAAAAAGAGCATTTAAAACATTACCCCACCTACTTTGTTATAACAACGATATACATTTAATAAGGGTTTTAAGATAAAGATTTTTTTTTAACCTAAAAAATGTCTCAGGCTCATGTTTACTGCCTTGATAAATGAAAAGATAAGATTCATAAGTAACACACCACTTAAGAGTCTAAAATAAATCACTGAAAGTGAGTACATGTCACTTCTGTGATATTCATGCAAATCTGCCAACATTTAAGAGTTGAAACAGGAAAGACCTTTGCAATTTAAAATCCACCAGAACATTCTAGTCTATGTTTCCGACAAGTACATTTTCTTCGTCAGGAATCAAAACTGCGTCGTGTCCTAAGAACATACCAACATTGAGTTAAATAGAAGCTGTTGACAAAGAATGGCACGTATATTTCGAAATATTCTTAAAACTTTGGACCCCATTACCTTTTTTTGCTGCAATTTGGTTCAAATAATAGTTTGATATTCATTTCCTACATAGTATTTTGGTTGCAATGCAAAATAAAAAAAAAATAAAAAAGGTAAATAAATAAAAAATAAATATATATATATATATTTTTTTTTGTAATTTCTTGATTTCTGTTTTATATAAATTCCTGCTGGAATCGTATGTTAAAATAAACCTCCGTTATTACTTATATTAGTTACTGCTACGATTTTATTGTACTTGAGCTGCGTCACGACAAAACCAACATAATGGGTTTGCGACCAGCATGGATCCAGACCAGAGCTGCATCAGTACTAACGGTGTAGTACTTAAGTACCAGTACCAGTACTTGGCAAATTTTGCAGTACCATTACCAGTACCAGTACTAGATTTTAGCTCGGTACTGCAGTACCAGTACTTTTTTTGGTGAAGTAATTAAGTATCAGTACCATTACTTTTATATATTCATCAAAGTTTGAATAAATACAGTGTCAAACAAATAATTGCATATATTATTCAGCAAAGAAATAAAATCATAATTTACTTTAAAGTTAACATAACATATTTACAACTTTATTGTTTTAACATACTTTTTACAAACAATATTTACAACATATATTCATGTCATAATTATCTAATTGTCTATTAACCAGTCAACTGTATAAATACAATGCAAACATCTTTCATTTAAAACACAACAGTCTTTTGTTGCCTTTCACACCTTCACACCTCTGTTCAATTTATACCAAAGTATATAACAACTTTTTATGTTGCTAACAATACCACTTTTTTTCACTTGAAATGAGATTAATTAGAATAGAAGAAATTAATTAGTGTTTATTTTGCTCTTTTACTAGTAATTACAAAGTAATAAAAGATTTTAATAAGGATATTTTAGGGTAAAGAGTTATTGAGTCTGTTTATCTTAATTTAATTTTTACTTAAAGTCTTTGGTGCTTTTTATGATGAATACTTTGAAGGAATATTGCAGCAAATTATCTTTAGATTTGATAACTTACTTTTTCACAAAAATAAAATATAGTTAATGTAATTTACAGCTTTATTTTATGAGAAAAATTGATACTATTTTTAATTTTTATCAAAACCAAAAGTACTGGGTAATGCAGTAGCAGTACCACTTTTTAAGACAGTAATGCAGTACCAGTACCAGTAGTAGCAAAATTTTGTAAGAGTAATTCAGTAACAGTACCAGTACTTGCAAAATCGCTGCAGTACGTACTGCAGTACCAGTACCAGTACCAGTAATGCAGCTCTGATCCAGACCAGCCTGCGTATCCGCGCAGTCTGATCAGGATCCATGCTGTTCGCTTACAAACCCTATAGCAAGTAGAGAAATTGATAGCGAACAGCATGGATCCTGATTAGACTGCGCGGACGCGCAGGCTGGTCTGGATCCATGCTGGTCGCAATCGCATTATGTTGGTTTTGTCGTGACGCGGCTCATTTATTTTTTAATAATCATTGAGAACAGATGAAACTAAAGTCGGAATTAGTGGCATATTCCTCCGCGAAAAATGTGCAGTCGGACCGGAAATGAAGTATTAGTATCATTCCTCTCTAAAATTAACTTTCATTTTTTAAGGAAAACACAAAATAAAGTATGGCATAAAGTCTTGCACACCTTATATCAGAAGAGTAAAGATACATATATCTCCACGTCAGCTCCTTTTCGAAGCGTTAATAAAACAATCGGTGCAAACTGCAACAAGTACATGTAAAATATGACAATAAGCTGGATTAGTTTGATATCATCTCAGTACTCTATAGCTCTAAATAAAACCTCATTAGATATTATGATTGTCACAGGGTGTGACAAATGTTCAGCCTGACTGGGACTGGATCTAGGGACACTCGGAATACCATTCCGCGGCTTTACCGACTGAGCTTTCCGGCAACTTACACATCTTCTCCCCTAAATAGTTAATAGTTCTGAACCTTAAACATATTACTCAAACATAAAAGTCAAGCCGACCGTTTAAAGACGAATTTGAGTAAGAATTATATTTAAACATATTGATCACAGTACAAAACTTTGACATAATTCTGGCTAATACAAATACATGTACTAAAACAACTAATAATCTGGCATGTTAGTTGTACATGTATTAAGAAATGACTTGATTTATGGTACTAGTACATTACCCCTGTAGCCAGTGACGTCTGATCATGGTCTACACTTTTCGCTATTCCGTCAGTACATATTTCCCCCAAAAAATGATGAGTATTGACTGATGGACAAGTCAGCTACATTTGACATGCGTATCGGTAAATGGGAGATAACCCCTATAACAAATATGCATAGTGCATACACTGGTTATGTTATCATAGTAATGCTTTATAAATGTTAGATTATCATGTAAGTATACATGTGCTAAGGTGAGATAACAACGGTAGCTGTTTTATGAATTTTATACAAGAACTTCTAT